TTTTTTTTTGTAAGATAGAAAATAAATAACGATTAAATAAAACAATCAATCTCGTCCTATGTTTTTTTTTATTTGAATTTCTTCTTCTAATGAGGTGTATTACCGAAAGGTTTACAACAAAACAATTTATATAATTTTTATTTATTTGCTTGTTGTAGCTGGTGCAGATGTGGTTGTTGTGTTACCACCTGCTTGTCGATGTGATTTACGTGATTTGGCTAAAGTTCCTTCACGGAAACCATTACGGAATCGACGAAAGACTACCTTCAAATGTTTCATACGACCAGTGCCAGTTGTTTTTCGTCTCTTAGCTTTTTCACTCCATTGAAATTTGCGTGTTTTAGCAGATGGAAAGCCACAAGCTGCGCAACGTTGTTTTTGTAAATGGTATGATGAACGACCACATCGACGACATAATGTATGGGTCTTGGTATGACGTTTACCAAATGATTGTGTACCCTTCGTCATTGTTTCGACGAAGAAATTCTATACTATAAAATTAGTAAATTATATACAAAACGATTATATTAAAATGAAGAAGAAAACTAAATAGCTAAGCAGATGATATGTACATGAATTTTATTATTAAAAAAAACAACGATTCAACAATCCATGTCATCCATGTTTGACTATGTAGCATGGGATATGTGTTGATTGGATAAGAAAATGTTTCGATTGATTTAAAGATTTTATTGAAATGAATTCATACTTGAAGTCTAAAAGAATTATGTTTCTTCATGATATTATTAATAACGATTATCATCAATAATTAATGAGAGTTTTAAAAAAATATTTGATGATAGCGACATCTTTTAATACTGAATCATCATTACTATACAGACTTGTATTTCTCAATACGATACTATGCTCAAGTCCGATCTTGAGTTCAGTCGTGTTCAATTACTTCATATAAGAACAAGAAAAACAGCGAAAACTGTATAAGCATTCAATACTGTGCAAATTCATACGATTTATAAATTGTATGCATAGATTGATATCAAAACAAAGCTACACATAGTACATATACGTATATTAATCAATATTAGATTCAATTAGTGTATTTTTACTTAAAAATCGAAATATTATTAATATAACATTATTTAACTTCATCGATTTGACCAATTACAGTGACATTATTATTCATATTGATCATAGGTGTATGAATACATTCATTATACACATTTAGAACTGAATTAACGATATCTGTTGATATATTTTTAGACATATCATCGTTATTCATATAATTTTGTTCAATACTGTTAAGAATAAATTTTATCAGATAATTTACGTTGTGTATAGGAAAGACTTACGGTAAAATTTGTGGAGTAATAAAATCAATTTCTTGTAAATTATCAGAAATATGTTGTTTATTTCCTGTTGTACTTGTTAATAAAGGAGATTGGTCATGATTTTGATGATCTATTCGCCAACTAATTGTTGTATCATCTATATAACTATGATGTCCTCCACCTTTTCGATAGATTTTTTTCGTAGGTAATAATTGTTGAACACGATTTTCAATTGCAGCTAGATAGAAGAGAATATTTCGATCATTAATAGATTTTTCCGATGATAAAATTATATTTCGATCACAATTTAATTCGAAAAATAAATTATAAATTAATTCATAAGCTGTATTTAATAATTCACGAAGATTTCTTTTAGCTAGTTCAAGTGATTCAACATTCATATTAGCTTCATTCACTGAATTCTAAAATTAAAAACTTTATCCAAAAAAAATATAAACAATTTTCACTAACTTCAAGTGTTGAAAATATATCTTTTATAACAAATGAATCAATATTATCCGTTGAAAATATATTCGAAATATATTTTCGTTTATTATCAAGATTTTCATATAGATGATCAAGCTATTTAGAAATATAAGAATATATATGTTAAGGTCAAAATAAGAATTTGATCAGACAAAACTGGAATTCTGATTTTGTCCGGAAAAAATAAGAATATTATCGGTTTCGACTATAAAGTTGGTTAAAAACCAGTAAGGGAATTAGGTAAAAGGCTAAGACCGATAATGAGGGTGAGGGTGATGAACTTCGATTGTGAGAGTGAGGGTGAAGGTGAGAGTGAAGAATTGCGGAAACCTGAATTTCAGTCAAAACGTCATTGTCTATGAGAATTCTGATGATCCCAAATAGACTAATACTTGAATCCTATACGACACACTCACCCTCACTATCAGTCTTAGCCTTTTACCTATTTCCCTTACTGGTTTTTAGCACAGTTTTATAGTCGAAACCGACAATATTATAATTTTGTCCCGACAATATTATAATTTTGTCCCGACAAAACTAGAATTTCAATTTTATCTAGTCAAATTCGGGATTTGACCAAATTGTAATTACTTCATTGATTAATTCTACAGCATATTCAAATAGAGTAAATGATTGTTCTTGTTCGTTAAGAAATGTTTCAACAGTTCGATTCAGAACTTTTTCTTTAACAAAATTTTGATCAAAACCAATACGAAATAAACGATGAAATTCATCAGCTGTATAAGCACTTTGTGCTCCTTTCGAACCTATTTAAAGATTATTATGATAGACGAAAACAAAAAATGTATGAATAAATCATTACGTTTTCCAGCAAAAAGTTCATTCAATCGAATATGTTCTTGTCGTACATTAGATTTTTTCAAAAAAAAATTTTTCGATGCATAATTACTTTCTAATAATCGATCAAGTTCACGGATATCATTTAATAATTTCTTTTCATCACGATCATGTTGATCACGTACAGATCGCATACGTGCAACTAAGTTTCGTCTATAGATTATACACACAAATAGCAAAACAATTCTGTGAAAAAATTTCATACCGATTCGCAAAACTTTCTGAACATTCGGATGTTAATTGACGTGATTCATCCGTTGCATTTTGAATCACAATACTCAAACGATTATATTCGTCTATCATTTCACGACGTTTATCCAACATACGTTTGATATCAATACGTAAGTCGGTATTATTTGCATAGATTTTGCTTAATTCAAGATTCATCTAAAGAATAAGATTAGTTTTTTTTCAAATAATTCATCATGAAATACAAACACGATGCAATTGATTTTCCCGTTGCATTAATATTTTATCTTGTTCAATTTCATATTGATTATCATTCGTTTTCTTATTTCGTTCTGAATTATTTTCAATTTGTTTTATCTGAGATAATTAATAAATTTTCTCTTAAACTTGTTTTCATATACCACAATCACCTTATTACAAAGAGAAGAAATACTTTTTTCAAGTTTGATATTATCATCTTCAATTTGTTTGATATTATTTTGTTGTGAAGATTTTCCATGTTTCATTAAATTCTTACGTATAAGTAATTCCTTTTGCGAATTTTTTTCTATATTGAGTAATTTTCTTTGAAAATTTTTAATGAAAAAATTTACGAATCATAAGAAAATAATTTAGCTTTACTCTTGCATAAAAATTGAATTACGTGTACGATGTAAAAATCGTTTTATACGCATTTCAAGACGTCGATGGAGGCTTTTAAGTTTTATCTCTTCATTTGTAAGTGCAGCTACTTGACTTGAATGCTCAATTAATTTCATTCGATCAGTATTCTGAAATACGAATAATGATTTTCATTTTAGTCATTTCGATGTAATACTCTAATATGAAAAATATCTCATAAAGGTAGGTATTACTTCTAATCCTCGACAGTTATAGCATTCATTAATATTATTAGTTGTATTAATCGGAATGAATTCTATTTAAGAGAAAAAAGAAATATTGAATAGAAATTTATTTGATTTAGTTTTTACCGTCGATATTCATCGAATCTTTGATTATTTCCATAGACATATGAAAAAAGAAATAGTGAAATTTATTATTTCCCGCATTAAATTGAATAGAATATTCTTTATTTTTTAAACGAATATTAAAGTACAAAAGTAAAGAAAAAGAATAATTTTAGCTGGATCGATGATTACGTTCTAGAATTTATGTTGAATAAATAAACGAGATTATTAAAATTTTTCGAAAGACTTACTTGCAGAAGACTGAGTGCTACGATGTCTGGATACTGGTTCCTCATTCTCATCATCATCTAAATAGAATTTATCAGGGATTTTTTTTGAGTTAGACTGTCTTACATACTTTTGGTTTTCTTAGGTTTTCGTTTTTTTTCTTTTGATTTTTTTTCTTCATTATCAGTTGTTGATATTTTAGTTTTCTTACGTTTAGTAAGATTTGTTGTTTCATCATTTAGTATTATTTGTTCTTTTGGTTTTTTTGTTTTTCTTTTACTATTTTCATTTTCATTTAGTATTTCTTGTTGATCATCAATTTGTTTTGGTTTACTTCGTTTACGAGTTTTTCGTTTAATAGGATCATCATCAGATGTTTCCTGAGGATGAGTGTCAGTTTTGGATTTTCTCCGTCGTTTTGTTTTTCTTTTGTTATTAATCATACGAGTAGAATTTGATTGTTGGTTTTTATTTTCATCGTCAGATGTTTCCGCTGGACGATCGATTGATTTCGATTGTTTACGTTTTCGTGTCTTTCGTTTAGTTTCAATTGGTTTTTCTACTAATACTTTTTCAGTTGCTACTGCTACTTCTGCTTCTTGTTCAGCAATAACCTTTGTAGCACTTCGAGTTTTTCTTGCACTAACAATCACCGATTTTGTTTTGGGTTTAGTTGTTATACGTGTTCGATTTTTTACTGGTACTGTTTCTTGAACAGTAGAGATTTCTCTAAAAGAAAAAACAACACTAGCAAATCTTGTAAGTTCAAGAAATTAGTTTGATAATTTACTGTTGATTTGAAGAATTTGATTTAAGAGAAGGATTATTGTTCGTTGTATCTGAATGAAAGAAAATAGTCATAACAAGATCATTATTATTTATTCTGAAAGTGTAACGATTTTATTAAAATTCCTCAGGCTAGTAAATAAATCCGTCTCACTTTCTCATTTATTATTCGAAATATTTTTAATTAATGTAGTTAACTAAATTGTACACCTAGTCTCAAACCAGTATTACTTATTAAACATATAATACAAAAAATAATCGTAGAATAACATACGAGGTATATGTTCTGATTGTTTAGTGTCTGCGATGACTAATACATCATCATCACCATCATCTGGAATTGTTGGTCGTATATATTCATTTTGATCATTATCGACTTGTTCTGTTTTAACATTATGAAGCAAAAACGTTTGACCAAAACGATGTTTATCTTGTTGAATTTGTTTTATATCTATAAATACAGTATTGTAATGAAATAATCATTGTTCTTCTTTTTTATATTACTCGTTCGATTTTGATTCACTGGTAAGAGAATTTTATGCATTGATTCTTCATTTTTTTCATTCTTACTAGATGGTGGTGATGATGATGATTGTTCATGAGTATCATCTTCAGGTAAATCAGTTACATCTTGAAGAATTGTTGGTGAAAAACATAATCGTGCAGGTATATTTCGTTGAGAATCAATTAAGAATGTTTCAGGTTGATTTACACATAAATGTGAATGACAATATTGATTAGGAGCTCGATAAGTTCCATTTGGTTCATCATTATCATCATCTTCTTCATCATTATTCTGTATTTCACCATCAATCATCGTTTCTTCAGGTTTAACAACAAATGTTGTATCAATAATTTGTAAAGGTTGACGAACTATACTAAGTGGGATAAGATGCGTAGTAAATCGTTCTTCTTTTCTTGGTATTGAATATTCTTGTTGGTTAGGAGCAGTTATTTTTATGGATGGGACTATTGTGAGACGTTTTGATTGAACTCGAGATTCTAAATATTCATTATTATATAAAAATATTGAAAAATTCTTGATTTACTTCGAATCATTTGAGTAAGTAATGGTGTTAATGTTTTACCATTCTTTAAAGAGCAAAAAAGTATTAAATAGTAAAATAAATCAAATATAATTACCAATAATTTTGTTACAAGTTCTCCTTTATCATCATCATTATCATCCTCTTCTTCTATTGTTTCAATATTTGATGCTGGACTTTTTTGAATTACTCGTGGAAAATTATCTCGAGAACGAATATCACCGGGATTAATTAAATTTCTTGATTAATATAAATTTAATTACAAAAAACTACAAAATGAAATATCGTAAAACATACTGATCCATAATAGAATGAATTTCTTTCCAATGGTCAGCTTCTTCATGAATAATCTGTTGAATTATATTACAATGTTCATTAACAATAGCACGTACATTTTCCATTCTCTAATTTTGATGCAAAAGAAAAAATAAAATTGATTTCTATAATTAAATAGAAAATATTACTCGATCAAAATAAATTCTAAGTGATTGTGAAGCTAATTCAATCATATTATCAAGTACACGTAATTTATCGTGGTATTTTAATAAACGTTCATTGATATCATTTATATTTTCGTCAATTTCAATATTATGAGAAAATATACCTCGTATTTGTTTTTCAAATTGTACTAAATTTTAGAAAAAAAAAAATAGTTATTTTTTTGTTTTGTTTTAAGAATTCATTTAATGATTTACCATTAATACTAAAATCAATAAGTTTACGAGCAATACGACATTTATTACGTGTTGATTCAAATCGAGTTCGATTCCATGTTAATGGAATATCAAAAACTGTTCGATTGAGAACAGCCATTTTGATTTTAATTAAAAAATTGTATAATGAAACAAAATAGAATGAGAATTAATTTTCAAATATTAGTGAAACTGACGTAGAACAAGATATATATACATTTATTTTATCTATCGTATCGATTATCATTATTTTATCCAATAAATTCTTATAGATCACAGATGTCACACAGATTATATTTGTCAGATTAACTATTCCTTTCTTTTTATCTATCTTAGTCATAATCGATTGTATACAGTTATATAAAACAGATGTATTAGTATTTCTAAAGCAAGACGGAATTTCATTATAAGACAATAAATGCTACTATAATTTGGGTAGTAATAGGTCGTATGAGAAGGAATGAAAGAACATAGTGCCATAAGAGTTCAAAAGTACGACTTAGCTTTGCAGAACATGCTTTCAAAGATAATAATATACTACTCTTTGAACAAAAATGATTGATAAATCTGTTAAGTCAGTATTATTGTCCTTTTATTAAATTAGTTATACACATATATTTGCTTTTATCGATCATTATGGACATCTATTTTTGTAAATTACTGGTAATATACAATCTAACCAATCGAGTTTTTTCATGTTCTGTTTTATCGTTAGATACTCATTTATTGTTGTGTATTACTGTTCCAATTTACATAGTTGCTTTTTTTTGTGTTCTTTCATATGTGCATGAGCGAACTGTCCGTCCGTTCGATTAAAATAGTTGTCAATATGTGTCATGGTTAAAAAGTATGCACTTTTTTAAAAAAAAAATTTCAAACTCATTTGAATTGGCTGTTTTCTTTTTTTTTATTTTCAAAAGATTGTAAAAACAACAAATCTTATTCAATGTCTGATACTACTGTTGTTCAATTTTCTCCACCAACAACAGCATCTATTCATTCAATATCACCCTATCATGCAAATGATTATGAAATCAAGACTGATACTAATAATGATTTACCATTTCTATCAAAGAAAAAACTCATTCAATTTAAACCAACACATCATGATATATTTCATTCAACAAATTTTACTGGTCCTTCATTTAAACAAATTATTTTCTTTTTCATTATGTTTGTCGTATTAACATCATTATGCTCATATTTATACAAGGATTCATTAATTAATGTTTTACTTATTCTTGAAACATTACCATGGTGGTGGACATCATTGTTTTTTTGTGTTTTATTCGCACTTGTTTCGTTACCATTTGCTTGGGGTAAGTAAATATTATTTTTTGTAATATATTGAAATAAATTTATTTGCATAGGTTACATTTTATTAAATATTGCTTGCGGTTTTTTATATGGATTTATTTATGGTGTGATATTTATAATAATCTATGCTGGCATTGGTTTATCTGTATCATTTTATGTTTGTCGTTTTATATTAACACATAATTATTGTGTGATTAAAAATCTCAAAGCAACTTTTGAAAATAGTGAAATTATTCAAACGATAATTAAGGTTCTTAACAGTGCAGATGGTTATAAAATTATTTTTCTTAGTAGACTCACCCCGGTAACAAAAATAAAACATTTTCTTTTTTGGAAATATTTTTTATTTCAATAGATTCCTCTTGGTTTACAAAATGGCTTTTATTCAATTAGTAATATCCCGTTTCGCATTTATCTCTTCTGGTCGTTATGTGGTTTAATCCCAACTCAACTTATTTATTGTTCACTTGGTTCTCGTTTGCATTCAATGACAGATCTAATTTTAATTGATAAACGCACAAAAACTGTTGGTATTGTTGTTGGATTATGCGAATGTTTCATGACAATCATTTTGACTTATTATGTATTTCATACAGCTAAAAAAGTACTTAATAAGTTATTACTTGAAACATCAGGATCAAATGAAAGTTTAATGGTTAATAAAGAATAAATAACCCGTTTTTTTTTCTTCTTAACATATTTTCCTATTGTTTTAAGGTGTTTCGTTTTGTATTATCTAATGTGAAATTAATAAATAAGGACAAGGTACAACTGCAATTATGTTTCATCTATCTTTATTCTATAAGTCAAAGTTGACAGGAAATAATTAATTTATCATCGTTTTACTGTTTAATCTATTATTAAACGATAGTGGAGAGAATTGTTAAAGTTTAAAGAAGCTGAAGTTATGTAGATGTAAAAATTGTGCCAATCATTCGTTATGATTACGATATTTGATCTTATGACAAAATGAAATCTTTTCTTCAGATGAGTCTTTGGTGTGATAAATATCGTCCGAGAAATTTTCAAGAACTTGATTATCAATTAGAACAAGCCAAATTATTACAAACGATTGTAAAAGAATTTTTTCATTCAATTTGTCGTCTAATTTTATGTTTATTAATTATTCAGGTAGCTAATGGTGATTTTCCTCATTTTCTAATTTTTGGTCCTAATGGTTCCGGTAAAAAAACTCGCATAACATGTTTACTTCACGCTTTATATGGTGATGGTGTGCAATCTTTACGTCTAGAAAATCATGAATATGAAACACCATCTCGAAAAAAAATTGAAATAACAACGATTGGTAGTAATTATCATACACAAGTCAATCCAAGGTAATTTACAAAAGTTTATTCTATTAAAATTAAAATTTTTTAGTGATGTTGGTATTTATGATCGTGTTGTTATTCATGAATTAATTAAAACAATTGCACAAACTAAACAAATAAATAGTATAGAACAACGATCATTCAAAAGTATGTTAATATTGATATATTCAATATAAATATTGATTTAGAGATCTCTTTTTATATTGATTTTTCAAGTTATTGTTATTGTTGAAGTGGATAAATTAACACGAGATGCTCAACATAGTCTTCGTCGTACAATGGAAAAATATGTTAGCTCATGTCGTCTTATACTTTGCTGTAATTCAACATCACGAGTTATACCAGCGATTCGTAGTCGATGTTTAGGAATAAGAATGGCTGCACCGACAATTGATGAAGTATAATTATTTATTTATTAAGAAAATTTAATTTCTTTTTTTTTAAAGATAAGTATAGTATTAAAAAAAGTAGCAAAATTGGAAGGAATAGAATTACCAATTGAATTAGCAAATCGTATTGGTGAAAAAAGTCAAAGAAATCTTCGAAGAGCTTTACTTATGCTTCAAACATGTGCTACACAAAAGTAAAAATTTTAATTTGAAGAAAACAAAATAAGGGATGTCTTTTTATTAGAATTCCTCTAACAAAAGATCAACAAATAATTGAACCAGATTGGGAAATATATTTACGTGATACAGCTCGAATGATTAGTGAACAACAGACACCTCAACGGTAGATAAGATTCCTTATATTTTTAATTAGTTTTTCTTTTCTATAGAATTTTTGAAGTACGTGAACGGCTTTATGAATTAATTACACATTGTATTCCAGCAGAAATTATTTTTAAAGTAAAATTTGACTTTTTTAATATATAGTTTTGGGATTAAAGAATTTTATTCTTAGGGTTTACTTGAAGAACTATTAACTAATTGTGATGATGTATTAAAAATTCAAATAACACAAACAGCTGCCGAATATGAACATCGTCTTCGACAGGGCTCAAAAGAAATTTTCCATCTGGAAGCATTCATAGCTAAATTTATGTGTATTTATAAACAACATATTGATAGCAATAGCCACTAACCTTAATGAGAATTTTCGATTAATTAGTAAATTTAAAAATTTTGTTTTTTTGTGAATGTTGTTTTAATTAAATAAAATTTCAAATATTTATATAATGAATAGAAAATTGTATTATTGTACGTAAATCAAATATATCTACAAAAATTGAATATACAGCATCGAGTATACGCTGTATGATCATTTAAGCAAATCTCTTAATCTTCTATCGTACTCATTTGCAATACAAGTGACTAATTCAATTAGTTTAAATTGGAAATATCATAATAGACACTATATTTGATGGGCCACATAGCAATATATTTCGATTGAGTAAACAAGATTTTTAATAGAATATAGAAGAGATATTTAATATATTCATATATATTATAATTGCATTAATTTGCCAAGTTTATGCCGTACATCCGCCCAATATTAATATATTTTGAAGTTCTACATTATGAATATTGTCGGTATTTTATACAATTAATTTTATTTCATAAATTCGAAAATGTAGAGTAGTAGGAGAATTCTTATCAGACACAATCATTGTTATAAATAATTTTTGTCAAAGTGCCATATATCAGTGGCGGATTTAGGGGGCGATGGGGGCGATCGCCCCACCCCCCTTCCGAATTTTTTTTGGATTTTTTCCAGAATAAACGAACGAAAAAATAGGTTCACACTACCTCGGTTGGACTCAAAAAATAGCTTTTAACCAAAATCGCCCCCCCTCTTCAGGTATCGCCCCTCCATACTAAAAAAAAAATCGCCCCGCCCCTTCCAAAATCCTAGATCCGCCACTGCCATATATATACTCACTGATAAATACCATAAAAGTAAAAAGTTATAAATATCGTTCTATTGCAAATTTATATGTCAATTAAAATATTATTTTCGAGAAAAAACTAAAAACATCCAATAAATAATATCAAATAAACTCACGCCATTCGTTTTCTGCACTACTTGAGAAAATCGAACATCTGTTTAAAATAAACTTCGATTATCGATATAAAAACATGAAATATAATTTTGCTCTTTCTTATATCGTCATTTCAGAAGAAATTAACGAAAAACCATGTTACTTTCTTATTTAAGTTTCCTTTTGATTTCCGGTAAGATTTTTTTTTAAAGATTTGTGATATACAAAATCTGTTAGAATAGGTGTTGCATTGGCACAATATGAACGCGAACATACACCAGCTGAACGAATGAGACTCTTGGTACAATATACTTAATATTTTCTTCTATAATTTTCATTTCAATTTATTAGGGTCCTTTGGCTTTTGGAAATTCTCGATTAGTATTTAATTGTCCAGCATTAGTTCCATCACCAACACTTCCAACTTCAGGTATTTATTACTTTTCATTTTCATTCAAATTTAATATAATTATCCTTTTATTTATAGTACATGCTTTAAGACCAGCTGATATAAAACTTGTAGCATCCATGGGTGATAGTTTAACTGTATGTTTGATGATAGAACAATAGAAACTATTTAATATTCAATTATTTTAGGCAGCAAATGGTGCAAAAGCAAATTCAATTGTTGCTGTAATAGTTGAATATCGAGGTGTTTCCTGGAGGTAAAGAAAATCTTTAAATTAGTTTTTCAAAATTATTTTTTTATGTTTTAGTATTGGTGGTGATGACGATCTCAAAAAAGTTGTTACATTACCCAGTAAATATTTTGATATTGTTCAACATTAAAATATTGCTTCTTTTCTTTCTAAATTTTAGATATTTTACGACAAATTAACAGTCAATTAAGTGGTTATTCTCAAGGAACTGGTGATCGAAATTCTTCCAAAGCTGGTTTTAATGTTGCAAAAGCTGGTGCTATTTCTTCGTAAGTTTAATTCATAATTCGAAGGAGTATATTATCTTTGTTTAAAGTGATATGCCAACTCAAGCTCATCTTCTTGTTGATCGAATGACAAAAGCATTAGGTGCTGGAAAATTTGCTGCAGATTGGAAATTAGTAACATTCTTTATTGGTGGTAATGATCTTTGTGGTTATTGCAAAGATACAGTATGTTTTTATTCTTTCTGGTATATCATTGATTTATATCTGTTGAATTAGAATCGATTTAGTACAGCTACTTATACGAATAATATTAAAACAGCATTAGATATTTTGAAAGCTCGTATGCCTCGTGCTCTTGTTAATCTTGTTGTTGTTCTTAATGTTGCTGAACTTGAAGATTTACATGAAGGTATTCGATGTCAATCATTACAAAAGTAAGATAGAGGATAGAAGACGAACTAAGAGAATAAATTAATGAATATATATAGTTTTATGTGTGATTGTGCTGTTAATAAGAAAACACGTGAACAAGTTCGTGTAGCAAATTTGGAATATCAAATAGCAACAAAGAAATTGATTAGTTCAGGTATTTATGATACATCGAATGATTTTACTGTTGTCCTACAACCATTCATGGAACATATGAAAGTACCAGCTACGGTATGAAAAAAACTTTTGATTCTTAATATATGAAAAATGTTTTTCAAAAAAAAATTTTATTATTTATTATAGAGCAATGGCTTAGCTGATTTTTCATATTTTTCGCCTGATTGTTTTCATTTCAGTCAAAAAGGTCATGAAGCAGCAGCTATTGAACTTTGGAATAATATGGTTAGATTCATATGTGAATAGTTTTTTAAATAATTTGTTCTATGTCTTATGTCTAGATGCAAAAAGTTGGTGAAAAAACAACTTCATGGAATTTATTGGATACACTTGAATGTCCAACAACAGTAAGTTACTGATTATTTTGTTTTATGATTATCACAAATATTTTTTTTATCTCATTAGGGCAATGGGTATATTTATACACGCAAGAATAGTGCTTGAGTTGAAAATAATCTTTTATTGGTTGTCTGAATTTGTTTTTGTTCTATATCAATAAAAGGAATATTGACGAAAGATAAATATCTTGACCAATCTATGATTATTTGATGCTTGAGAAAAAGATTGATCAAGGTCAAACGTTCGAGTTGAACGAGTAAGGAAACGAAAAAGAGAGAGAAAAAGAGAGTAGATGATATATAAAAGTAGTGTAAAGTTATTCATTCATTCATTCATTCATTCAGAGAAGAAACCGAGCAAAATGCAGCACTATCTCACTTTCGTGATCTTTAGCATGTGCTATTTATTTATTAATGCACAAACAAGCAATACTACAGTGGTTGTCACAACTACCACTACTACTACTACTACTGTCAAACCTGTTGTCGTTGTTGCAACTACTCCTGCTGTTAAACCTGCTGAAGTAGTCGCAACTACAGCTGCTGTTAAACCTGTTGAAGTTGTGGCAACTACTGTAGTTGTTAAACCTGTTGAGGTTGTCGAAACTTCTACTATTATGAAAGTTTCACATGCGATGGAAACAACAGATGGACCTACTACTATGAAATGGATGGGCACAGATGATACTCCCGTTCCAATAATTACATATACAGGACTAACACCAGGTTCTCGACATGGACCATATGTTGAACCACCACCACATCCACTTGGCTATTGTATTCGTGGTCGTTTACGTTGTTCCAGAATTCGTCGTTGTTGCAATGGACCATGTAATGTTATTACAATGCGTTGCCCAGAAAATCAAAATGTACAATCTTAAAAATAGACTTTAGTTCATTTTTCTTTCAAGTTTGAAAGTAGTTGTTCATTTGCAATGTTCATAATTTTTTTTGTTGATTAAATAATAAACGTTAACACGTTGACTGTCTCCATACAAAAAATGAGTACTTGTTCTACGTCCATTTTTTAATTTTTTCTTAATTTTCAAATATATTATTTTTGAAATGTATTACGTTTATATACCACAAAAATAAGTTTTAAACATATCCTCGATGTGTTTTGCATGCAACACATATGATTCAATTGTCTCTCTTAGAATAATACTAAACTAACTTTATTGAAGAAACGATGATTATATATATATAAACGAGCCAGGAAGTACCAAACATTCTAGATATAAAATATGACTAAGAGGAGAATATACCTGAACAACATTAAGAGAGGGAAAAGGGCCAAGTGAAGAAAAGAAAAAAAAGATAGTACTTCTTATATAAGAAACCATTCTGCTTACTTTGTTTTAATGAGTGTCACTAAACATCATTACGGGAACTTGTGACTATTCTTTTATTTTCATTTAAGTTGGTAAAGAAGAACAGTTTATTTTATATTGAAACACTTTTGTAATAAAAACATCTGAAATTTAGCATTCACTTTTTTCTCAAATAAAAGCAAAGCGCAATGTTTTTTAGGATTTTATTATGTTCAGTACATTATATATGATTCAACCTAAAACTACAATACTTCTTTACATCGTATCCATATATTTCAATAGTTTAAATATCATATGCAGCGCATGCATCATATGTGATGCACGGGACAGTCAACGTGATAAATATAATAGAAGATAAATGTGTGATATTTATGTCATGCATACCTCTATACTCTTCAGTCTATGTATATCAATTCTTATTGATTCTTGAATAAAATACTTCTATTTAAAGTGTATCTGTGCGATGCACATAAGTTAAAATATTTCACACATTAAAAATTGATCCTTTTTTGATACTTGTTAAACAATCTTACGTATACGAATTCCATCCTGAACTAGTTCTAATTAAGATTCTAATCTATACTAGTTCTTTTCAAAATTCTAATCCGTCTTAGTCCGCTGTGAATAGGACACATTAGAATTCCAAACTGACCTAGTTCAATATGAGATCGTTCTATATTGAACTACATTCCAATTTTTACTCCGACATATATTTTTTTATCTCTATAGGGCAATGGGTATATTTATACAAGCAAGAACAGTGCTTGAGTTGAAAATAATCTTTTATTGGTTGTTTGAATTTGTTTTTGTTCTATATCAATAAAAGGAATATTGACGAAAGATAAATATCTTGACCAATCTATGATTATGTGATGCTTGAGAAAGAGATTGATCAAGGTCAAACATTGAGCGATCAAGGAAAAGAAAAAGAGAAGGAGAAAAAGAGAGTAGATGATATATATAAAAACAGCGTAAATTTATTCATTCATTCATTCATTCAGAGAAGAAACTGAGCAAAATGCAGCACTATCTCACTTTCATGATCTTTAGCATGTGCTATTTATTTATTAATGCACAAACAAGCAATACTACAGTGGTTGTTGCAACTACTACTACTACTACTGTGAAACCTGTTGTGGTTGTTGCAACTACTCCTGCTGTTAAACCTGCTGAAGTTGTGGCAACTACTACTGCTGTTAAACCTGTTGAAGTTGTGGCAACTACTGTAGTTGTTAAACCTGTTGAGGTTGTCGAAACTTCTACTGTTATGAAAGTTTCACATGCGGTGGAAATAACAGATGGACCTACTACTATGAAATGGATGGACACAGATGACACTACTGCTCCAGTAATTGCATATACAGGATTAACACCAGGTTTTGGACATAGACCACATGCATATCGATATATTGGACCATATGTTGAACCACCACCACATCCACTTGGCTATTGTATCCGTGGTGTTTTACGTTGTTCCAGAATGATTCCTTGTTGCAACGGACGATGTAATGTTACTAGAATGCATTGCCCAGAAAATCAAAATGTACAATCTTAAGAACAGAGTTTAGTTCATTTTTCTTTCATGTTTGAAAGTAGTTGTTCATTTGAAATGTTCATAATTGTTTTTTTTTGTTGATTAAATAATAAATGTTAAATAAGCTGTCTCATTCTTTATAAGATCATAATTGTTCTTTCATATACTCGGCTTAATCTTAGATATACGAATAGAAAATAATGACTTGAACTATATATAACTGAATTAATTGTAAAAAAAAGATGAACTCAACAAAGATTTTTGCATATTCTTCAAATAATATTGAAATGATTGTTAACCATTATCATAGAAAAATATTATCATAAAGTTGCTATTTGATTTATTTATGAGAACAAAATACATCTGGAGTTACAAAAATATCGCCATATTTGACAATAAAAGCTCCATTATAGATTTTATCTGATCTATTTTCTACTGTATAATGAAATGAACATTTTGTCACAACTATGCAACAGACAAAAGAAACAAAAAGAATAATTCAAATCAAATCGAGACTTCTAAGATAATGTATATCGATGTTGTAAAAATAATTGTGTTTTCCATTATTTCAATATTTATAATTGATCATGAAGGTTTCGAAGACTTCTCTATAACCTGTAACATTCTATTTCCTGTCAATCTTGTAAAATTCATTGATTTGACAGATTTCACATTTGTATGACGTATATTAAGCTGAAACTTAAGGAAAAAAATGTGAGTCTTCAATATCACTTTATGATGAATATACCTTCAGTAATAAGCTGTCATTTAAGCCTATAAAAGAATTTCGAAAATATGACAGACTGAACTGTACAATCAATAATATTCTAAATAAAGATCTCGAATATGAAAAGATGCGTTGAATATATTTATTTTATTGACTCTTATTCTAATCGATCACGTTATATAGAGTCATATGGTTACTTCCTCAATGTTTGATGACTGGCGACCTCTATGTTAAATTAATTCTATTCCTGTATTTTATTACCAGTATATTATAAACAAAGAACAATATTGATTTATTTTATTAGTATACAAAATATTTTCTATACGATAATGACAACTCGAACATCAACTCGATCGACAAAAGCTGTTAAATTTATTGATTCAACTGAATACGATGATGAAGATTTAGATAAAATCACTCCACCTCAAAACAAAACTGAAGAGAAAAAACCACGAGGTCGACCACCTAATTCTTCTCGTAATCAAACAAATCATGATGAAGAATGGGATGCAAGAAACGAACAACACGTTAGTGATGATGATGAAAGAAGTGATACTGAACAAAATCCTACAAAAAAATTTCAAGCTAATAGATCAGTTGGTTCAGTTTATGATTTTAAGTAAATGAAAAATTCTTTTTCTTATATTATAAAATATGAATTTTTGTTTTTTATTCCAATTCAAGTCCAACATCAAGAAAATGGACGAAATCAACAATACAAAAAAATAGTTCCGTATCAAAAACAAATGCAAATGACAATAAATCAATAGAGAAATTGATGTGTCAATACTGGTAAAATCTTTCTAATACAAAAAATTCATTTATCATCTGAAATTTATTTTTAGTAATTATACAACAGCGAAAAAATATCTTCTTCAGAGACATTTAAAATCTCATTCAACTGAACGACCACATAAATGTAAAAATTCGAAAATTCTAGTTTTTATTTAACTTTTTGTTTTTCTAGGTGCATATTGTGATCGATCATTTAAAACAACTATTCAATTAACAAATCATGTTAATACACATCTTGGTGTTAAACCATTTCAAGTAAAAAGATTTTGTTTAGAAAAAAAAACGAAATAAATTAATAATTATTTCTAGTGCAAATTTTGTGCATTTTCATTTACAACAAGTGGAGAATTAATTCGACATGTTCGATATAAGTAATATAAAAAGAAAATTTTATATTTATCTTATTAATTTTATTTTATTAGACATACACTTGAAAAACCACATCGATGTGATGAATGTGGTTATGCAACAGTTGAATTAAGTAAATTACGACGACATATTCGCACACACACAGGGGTATGAAAATCGTTATTGTTTACTTTTCGATTTTTATTCTATATTTATATATACATAGGAAAAACCATATGCATGTCCACATTGTTCATATTGTAGTCCGGATACATTTAAGCTTAAAAGGCATTTACGTGTACATACCGGTAAGATGAATAGAATATCAGTTTGATTATTTATTGAATTATTTTCTAGGTGAAAGACCGTATCAATGCACAATTTGTAGCTTTCGATTTACTCAAAGTAATAGGTAAGTTTGTTGATAATGATTAAAATTTCAACTAACCTAACCTCCTTCTTATAAATTTCTTCACCATTTAATTATTCTTTCAATTTAGCTTAAAAGCTCATATGTTAACTCATCAGGCTGAAAAACCTTCATATCCTTGTTCGTATTGTCCATCTGTTATGGCTCGAAAATCTGATCTTCGTTATCATATTAACAAACAACATGCTCCTCAATCTGAACCTTTACCATGTAATAAATGCGATGAAGATTTTCCTGACAAGTATGTTCAATCTTTTACTAATTAACTTCAAAAACATATTGTTAATTTTAGATATACATTACGTATGCATGGAAAAACTCATAAAGGTCAAACAATTTATTCATGTACACATTGTGAATTTTCCGCAAATACAAGTCAACAATTAGAAGATCATATGAATACACATCGTGGTACACGTCCATTTCAATGTAGTGAATGTGGTTTAATGTTTGCTGCTCGTGCTGATTTACGTGCACATGTTACACGTACACATCGAAATACATCAACAACAACAACAACAACAACAATGAATCGTCGTCCACAACGACGTGCTGCATCATTAAATCATCGTTATATTGGCGTTGATGATGATGAAATTGGTAACGAACAAAATAATAATAATAATAACGATGATGATAATTATCATTGTTCAATATGTCAGAGACAATTTACATCAGCTAGATTATTAAATCGACATATATCAGCTGTACATGAAGTAAAACATAATTTATATGATGAAAGAAATTATCAAACAAATGAAATGGAGAGAGAAAACAATAATAATAATAATAATTATGATGATGATATTCATGATTATGCTGATGATGAACTTGAAGGTAATAATAATGATCAAATAAATCTTATTAATGAAAATCTTATTGAAAAAAATCATGACGATGATGAAGATGAAGATGATTTAGCACCAATTGTTGAAGATATTATGGATGGTGATGATGATTTTGAACAAATACCAACAATTAAATCAGTATCATCTGCTGATCAAAAAAAACGACAAATTATTGAACAAAAGGATGTATCAAATATAAAAAAATATAATATTGATAGAAGTATGTAGATTATATAAGAAATGTTTGTTTAATTTTTGTTTTTGTACCTTAAAGATTTAATTTTATCCAATGAAGATGAAAAGATCGATTATGATGTATTTGGTTTTAATGGATAATTTCTTCTATTTTGTTCTCCTTAGAGATTTATATTTTCCATGTCTATTCATTTATTATTATTATTATTTTTTGTCTGTCTTGTTTTTTAATAGTTATATTTATCTCACCGTATTTGTTTTATAACGCAATATTCTGCGTTGAGAAACTTTATTTCTTTTATTTGAGATATAATATATAGTATTGTATTTGAGAGTTAAATCTTTTCGTTTTTTTCTTTTTGTTTTAAGTATAAATATCGATAGAGGATGAAATTATTCATAGATTAAAAATATTTTATTTATTTAGAAAATAACTATTGTGATATATTATGTCAAAATTAATATATACGAAGTAATACAAAACAAATTTCTTAATTTTCTTCGCATTTCAGATGGCTGGAATAAAACTTTTTAGTATCACTAACATTACCATAGCTATATTTATTATTTATATATCTTATACAGCCAATACATTTTATGCTATGTTTCGTCCACCTACATGTAAAAGTAATAATTGTCTTTCACCACATTTTAAATCATCATTAAATAAAAAATTGAAAGTAAATTAATAGAAATATTGAATTTTATTTGTAATGAAAAAACAAATGTCTTTAATTCATAGTTATATAGTTGTTTATCAACAACTTCAAATCAACCTCGTTCAATGACAGATTCGAAATGTGTAACCATGTTAAATATAAATAATTTTACAATAAATCAATCATTTGATGAGTAAAATTTTTTAAAATAAAAATTTCAATTCTTTAATGAATTTGTTTACTTTTTATTAATAGAACAATACATATTCCATTAGTAAAACAATTTCGACAAAATACAACATTTTATATACATTTTTATCTTTATCATGGTGTTGATCCATTTCAAGATCAAGCACGTATATATCGACATAGATTAATATCAAAATATCTTATTCCAGAACAGAATTTTATGAATCTTCTACAAGAAAAACTTCCTTCAAGTTTAACTGGTGTTAAAGAAGAAGAACAAGTTTGTTTTGAATAAATTAATTCTAAAGAATCCAATACGATAATTGTATGTTTGGTTTTTAGAAAAAAACGACGAATACTTCTTCAACTATACCTGTAACACATATTTTAAAAAGAATTATATTCCATGGTGTTGATCAGGATATTTCATTTGATAGAATGGAAATCCCACAAGAACTTTATCATTTAATAACGTAAGAAATATTATTTTATTTATTGATTATTTATAGTTCATAATTCATTAGTCTATATTCTCAAACAACATATGGACCTTTAATTAGTTCAGATGAACTAACTACTCGTCTTCGTGATTATCAGGTACGAACAAAAATATTATTTGTATCTAGTTTAACATATCTATTCACAATAGGATTTTTATTTATATTAATATATTCATATAGTCTCTGTTGGATCTATGATTTGATTAAACAGTTCGCTGGATCATCCTTTATTTGATTGCTAAAGGCAGATATATGTTAATTCATATTCAATTTGAATACATATTTAAATTTTTGCAAATAATTTGCACTAAAGTAACATATGAGAGATATAATTAATTATATATTAAATCAAAATTTATAGAATAATAACAACGGTGTAATAGATCAGAATGAAAACGATAAGGTGTTATTATTTTTATATTGTACTATCTGGTTCATGAATTACGAGAGAAAGTATAAAATACAGGAGCGTGTCGAGGGCAGGGGGCGCAGCACGAGTTTTTGTTTAGATTTAGCACGAAAAACTTTTTCCAAGGCAAGGGGCATTACGTCTCTGACAAGATATATGCGTTGTTTTAACAGACGAGAATAAAATAAGTTCATTTTCATTTCGTTGAAATATAATTATCAAATAGTATATTTCTATTATGTTGTTTGACTATTATCTATGTTTCTACTTAGCCGGTAAACACATCTGATGATAATATTGAATTAAAACTTGTGTATAATCCAATATCAATTGGTCGTATGAGATTATGGGTTAATTTTGAACGAGCACTTGAATCTACACGAGTATATGGATTTTCTGATAAAGAAATTGATGAAATCAAAGGTATTTTTGCTGATAATAATTTACCAATATTAGCATTAACATTTGTTGTTGCTGCTTTTCATGTAAGAATTAATTCTATTTTTTTTAATAATACAAAATTAAATAATTCTGTTTTTCTTTGTGTAGACTTTATTCGATTTTTTGGCTTTTAAAAATGATATTAATTATTGGAGACATCGAAAAACAATGGTTGGTTTATCATTACGAACAGGTTAATTAAATAAAAAACGAAACTTAATACAATTTACATTTCTCGTTTTCTTTTTTAGTCGTATGGCGTTCGATTAGTAATATTATTATTTTTCTTTACTTACTTGATTCTGGTGCAAGTCTATTGGTGCTTATTCCATCTGGTGTTGGTTCATTAATTGAAGTAAAAAATTCTCATTGTATTTTTCTATTATTTAATTATTATTTAGATTTGGAAAGTAACAAAAGCATTCAAGGTTAAAGTTCGATTTAATGGTTATAAACCAATAATTACTGTAAGTTTCATAAAATCATAGATGTATAAGAGAGAAATTCCATGTTCGTTTTTAGTTCGGTGAAACATCAAAAGAAGAAAATGATACAATGATGCATGACTCAACGGTAAAATTCGTTAAATCTGATAGAAATACAATAACAGAAATATTATTAGAGAGAACTATCATAGCTTTCGATTTATATACTTAATCTGATAAAAATTTAATTGTTGAATTGATCTTTTTAGGCTATGCGTTACTTATCATATCTTCTATATCCACTTTGTATTGGCTTAGCTGTGTATTCGCTTATTTATAATAATCATAAAAGGTAAAATATAATTTAATAAAAAAAATAAAATAAATTTCAAAATATTTAGTTGGTATTCATGGATAATAAATTCACTCGTCAATGGAGTTTATGCTTTTGGGTTCTTATTTATGATGCCACAATTATTTTTAAATTATAAATTAAAATCTGTTGCACATTTACCATGGAGAGCGTTTATGTATAAAGTAAGTTAAATAATCAAAAAGAATATTTTTTTTTCGAATATTTATTGAAAATAATATATAGGCATTCAATACATTTATTGATGATCTCTTTGCGTTTATTATTACAATGCCAACTGCTCATCGTCTTGCATGTTTTCGTGATGATTTTGTTTTTCTTATTTATCTATATCAAAAATGGTAAGTTTTAATAATCAATATTTCGAAATGTTAATTATAGAAAATAAAGATTTATCTATCACGATTCTTACCTTAACAGAATATATATCCCTCTAGAATTGATTAATTATTCAATAGAATGTCATTTACATAAAACCTACGGTTATATTTAATTGCTTTCTTCATATTTCATGGATTACGTCTTCTTAACATAATAGCCCTTCAGAGATTGAATGTTTCAAGCTAGTCAAATTGATTACAATAGTTCCTTGTATTTAAATATTATATTTTCTTTTTAGGCTTTATCCAGTTGATAAAACTCGCGTGAATGAATATGGTGAAGCATTTGATGAATCAACTAAATCAAAAACTGAATAAAAAAAAACAAGTTGTTTATTATTTGCCATTGAATATCGATATTTATTGACTAATCTATTATTAGGTTTTTTTGTTTCTGTTTTCATTCGGAATTAAAAATAAAGAGAATGATATTGTTATGAATAAATTCAATCAATTTTTGTTTCTTTAGATATCTATCTTTACTTTCTTTTCGTCAAATTCAATAATGTTGTTGTTACCATTGGGATGAGTTCAGCAAATTCTTTTCTTCCATCAACAACATATCATACTTCAAATAATCGATATTCAACTCCACAAGCAACAACTACAACATCATCATCTTCTTCATCATTTAATATACTGTCAAATAGTGTTCAACAACAATTAAATGATTTAAATTCTACACGTTCATCGACATCATGTTCAACATCTCATTGTTTAAGTAATCAATGTCTTGAATGTACAACTATACTTTCGACAAGACCATCACAACCAAGATGTAATCTTAATTCTTATATTGATTCATCATCGAATTCATCTCAGTATGTTTAGAAATATTTCAATATAGAAATTTTATATTATTTTCTAGTTTTGTACAAAATTGTTCATATGTAACTAATTCAACATTAGATAATCATTCACAAGTCTTAACAATCGATGAACAACAAACCACAACACGAGTTCTATCAATGAATATTCCAGTTGATAATAGTAATAATGTAAATCCAATAAATTCTTCATCATTAAATATTGAAATTGAAGAAGAAGAGGATGACGATGATGATGATGATCATCATCGACAAACTCATTTATGTAATGAACATATTGATCAAAATGAACAATTAGAAGTTTTTGTTGGTTTTTATCGACCCGGAGAATATCAACGTGAAACAATGGAGGAAGACGACGATGATGATGATGATGATGAAAGTGAATTAAGTCGTAAATCAGATACACAGAAAAAGGAAGAACAGGTACGCATAGACAAACAGGATAAATATTTTTAATATGAATATTTTTAGTCAACTCGAGAATTAATTAGTGATGAAGATGAAGGAAATGAAGATCAAGATTTTATTGATGAAGATTTTGGTCCTAATCAAGACGATGATACAGATCAACAACAACAAGATAATGAAATCATAAATGAAGAACAATTACATCCAAATATTCTTGATAATGATCCACAACAACAACAACCAGCAATTGAATTAAATGAACCAATATTATTTCCTATTGTTATTGTACAAATTGATGAAGATGAAGACCAAGGTTTTGGTGCACAATTTAATGATGATTGTCAATCAAGTGATGATGAAAATAATCATCTATCAACCATATCATTAAATAATATTAATAATGAAAATGAATTAGCATATTCGAAAAAAAAATTTCTTCAACGTTCACAATCAGATACTGAATTAAATCATCGAAAATCTCAAATATATCTTTCATTACCATCATTAACAATAAATTCTGATAATCAATATGAAAAATTTGAACATATTATTATTGATGATCAACAACCACCATTAACGACAATGTCAAATTTACTTATTAAAAAAAAACAAGATAATGATGATAATGAATATTTATTTTTACGAAAGAAAAAAATTTTAAGAAAATCTTCCGAAGAAATTATTGAAATATCAAATCAAGAATCTCCTTTACAAGTAAATCATTTTTTTTGAAAATATTCATATTTTTAAATTCGAAATTTTAAGACGATTGTTGATGAAGCTGTTCGTGATGTTGAACGTCATGTTATGCTATGGGATGATGAACATGCTCGACAAATAGATACTCAATCATCATTACAACAGATTGTGGTAAATAGATTTTTGTTTTGAATTGATTATCGAACATCTGTTTTTTGTTTTTCAGCAATATTTTCAATTAAATATTGATATTAATCAAGATCAACAATCGAGAATATTATCAATTAGAAAAGAATTATTACTTGATTATCTTCAATATAGAAGTGAAACTGGTAAGAATGAATTATATTGTAAAATATGTAACGATCAAAACAGACTTCTTCTATTCATTGTAGACATCTCTGCAAGTGATTTACATGAAAATCTTCTTCAATATCCCGAATATTCTTCTCGTATTCATTGTCGATTCTTTCCATTTTGGCCACCACGTGATGTTGATTTATTACAATGGCTTTCTCACTGGATTAAACAAGGTAAATCAATTATTATTTCCTTAAAAAAAAAACGTTTCCCATATAATTTTTAGGTGCTCTACCTATTGCAATAATGAATATGGATCATACTTATTCTCAAAGATCTAATTATTCGAACACAATCTCATCTTGGCAACATCGTGTTATTTATGGTGTTGAACCTCGTGCTATCTATCTAATGAATCCAATACAAATCCAATCACCACAACAAGTCTATGAACAATTAACTATTGATTCTATAACATATATAACACGTCATGAAATAGTTCAACGTTATAATCAATCTCCAATGTGTTTAACACCATTAGCAATAAATAATAATAAATCAAGATTATTTTCTGATACAAGGTGGCGTACAATGAATGTTCTTGGACAAGTTGTTAATGTTTTACGAGAAGATCGTCAGTTACATGAAAATGAAACACGTAATATTCCATATCGTCCAACGGTAACACATGTTCGAATTCCATCAACATGTTCATCCGGTATATTAATATTCTCAAAAGATTATAATCAATTATTAAATGCGATTGATTTACCATTAAGACAATAAATCTATTTTTTATTTCTCTATTGATTGTACATTGATTTTCGTTTTTATTTTGCTAGTTTACACCGGTTGTCTGTATGTTTGAGCAAATTTTGTTTTCTTTTTTTTTTCTTTCTTTTCGTGTTTTTTTTTCGAAGATAGAAATTCAATGTTATTACTGTTCATTATTTCAAAAATTTTCTTGTTTTCATTTACTATACGAGAATAACAAATAATGAATCGATATGGATTATTAAAAATAAATAAATAGAAGAATTTTTAATCTTCTATTGATGAAAAAATATTCTTTCATTACAAGTTACCTGTTGTGATTTAAAAAAAAGGATTCAGGAAAGAAATTTAGATACATAGTTTCTAATCCCATATATTTGTTGAGGGTGAGTGTGGGTAAGGGTGTGGGTGGGTGAGGGTGTGGTTTTGAGTGGGTGTGGATGGGTGTGGGTGTGGGTGGGTGAGGGGGTGGGTGAAGGTGTGGGTGTAAGTGTTTTTCTGTTCTACACCCACACCCTGATGTCCACATTTTTTTGTCGACGTTCGGCTATTTTCCCGCTAAAATTACTATAGTTTGTTGACATTTTTATATTCAACCAATTCTATCTCATATTAAAAATGTCCATTGAGCTTTCCGATAATTACAATAGCATTGATATTTCAAAAGTGGAAAGAAAAAAAACCGATTGATCATCTCATCAATCTACATAAATTCTTTTAATATAAATATTACATGATTTAATCATATAAATACCCAAAGAATATGTTAATGAAAAGCGTCTAATCGATTTTTATATTCGTATCAGAGGTATTACATAAATATTGTATACAGGAAATTAATCATGCAACAGACCATATGTATCAATCGATCACGTACAAGTTATTATTTTAAATTACGTACACAAGTGCAATAAAAAAATTAAGTGTACGTGCATGAAATACGAAAGTAGGAATAAATTTGTTAAAAAAAGAAACAGATAATCTTGGTCAAGTTAAGTGTGGTCCAAATTTTCGCAAAAAACTACCAGAAAACTATAATCATCTGTTTCTTTCTCGCTCTAATAGATACTTTGAACTGTGCTGAGTCGACTGTTGATTCTCAAGAAAAAAAAGTACACATTTACAAGCTACAATTTGTCGAAAAAACTTAACCTGACCGATAATCTTCTATTGAAAAGTGTTGTTAAGTAATCATAAGTATGATAGAATAGTTCTCAGCTGGAGATTATTTTGTTGATCATTATAGAAATTTGATCGTATTTATCTTGGATATATTATTTATACATGAGAATAGAAGAAGATGTTCTGTCAAATTTAATATTAATCATGTACAAGTAAAACAACAATCACCAATAGTATACTTCTGATTTCATACAAATTTTAAACAAATTAAAAAAAAAAGAAAAACTAATCAGATATTTCCACATTTTTGTCGTTTGAATAAATCTCTACAATCATAAACAAGTATGTATAACCATTCTTAATCATCTGTAACATAAAAAAAGCATATCGTTATTATCATTCCAAGACATAGTTTTAGATTCGTTCAATTGTTAAACGTTTTGTATTTTTTAATAATTTTGATAATATAAAAACATATCGTACAGTAAAAATCTACAATGAAAATATTATTTTTTTTTTCTCCGAAAACAAAACTAATTCAATCTTACTTGAACTAATGAAGCTGTTAAACAAATAATAATAAATATAATTGCAACGATTACTCCTTTAGCAACTCCTAAATGTGATGTGTTAATAATAATTCCAACAAGAATAATGATAACAAAAGCTAACATTGAGAGAAGTGTTACAAAACCAAGCCATGCAAACTAAATATATAAGACAAATGAAATGTTGTTTATTTATAAAAGACCAAACAAAACAAAGTCAATTATCACTTACGACAAGTAGACCTGTTTGATAATAACGATAGGTTACTAATAATCCGAAACAATAGTAAATAATAGAAATAAATACAGAAACTAATTGAGAACCACTATTTGGAGATTGATCTTTCTTTGAATCACTAGTTGCAAGTGAATGAAAAACGAATATAAAACAAATAATACAGAGAAACTAAAAACAAACAAAAAATGGATTATAGATGAAGTCTATTTTATGAAACTTACCAGTAATATTCCGATCAAAATAAGTATAATTTTTCGTGTTCGAACAACATCAGGTTGTTGCTCTAATGATGGCGGTTTTTGAGAGTTAGTAGAAGTTTTGATCATAGATATTTTATCCGTGGATACTTCGCTGTCCAATTCCATGCGTATGTTTATTCTTCTTTTATGTATAGAAAAAAATCAATTATTGCGGTGGTTACAATATGATAGTATAAGACGAAGAAGAAAAAATCAAGCTGTTGCTTTCTCGATGTTATTCTAGCTCGGTAAGAAAAGAAAAACAGAACAGAAGAAGCATTGATTCATTCGGTTGACATCATATATCATAATGCGAAGCGTAGCAAGGAAACAAATCTAAGAAAGAGATCTTATTCAATATAGGCAAAAAAAGAATGTATTATTTTGTTCGAAAAAAAAACCTACGATTTTTTTGTTATATTGGTTTTTCATAAAGATAGTTTATCTTATGATTTATTACCGAAAAAAACAAACAAAACTTATCGGAGATGTCTATCGTATTGTTTATTCAACCGAAATCCTTATAAATGTATATTTTACTATTTCGAGATAGGACTATGACTATATATTTACTGCACATGATTAGTTTTTGATTATGCTAAATAAAAAAATGACAATATCTATTGTGGACTATTTGATTATTCTTAGTATTTTTTCTTTTTGCTCTTTGATTTAAATAAGAAATATGTCAATAGAAATTGCATTTATTATTAACATATTGTAATATATAACAATATGTATATTGTCAATGATATTCCTCAATATTGATTTGATAGGAAGAGGGCAAAAAAACCGATGAGAATTCTATAAAGAAATCTAATATTTATTGATCCTGTACTATCAATGAAGAAAAAAGAAATATATCATTCTAAGAAGTGCTATAAAGTGTGTATGTGAAGAGCTGTTTTGTTGTATTTCATTATCTTGAAAATAATAATGGAATCTAAAAGAAGTAAATATATGCCTGTATATAGAAAATAGATGTGTTATCCGAACTTATTGAAAATGGAATATCATTATTAACCTGAATTTATAGTTCCTATTCTAATCAACGAGATAATGCGTCATAAGATGACGTAAAATAGCTAAAAATCAAAACAAAAGTTATGTCTTTTCTTATTCATCATCATAATATTTATTATCTGTATATGTCTAAGAATATTACGCATTAGAATACCCCCACATATGAAACGGATCAAACTTCTAGTTTTACTGTGCTGTCATTACAAATCATATTATATCATTCATCAGTATTTTTTGTACCAACAATAACTTTTATCTTCTTTATGGAGATATTTTTCTTTAGGTGTATTTATTCTGTTCTTTAAAAGGCGTACGTATAGTGTACATCTATTTTTATTTGGATATAGCAGTTAACATATTGATGACATATTGAGTGTAATTAATCAAATAGACGGAATAGCAAAGCATCGATCATATGAGACATACTATTCTGACATTAATACAACAAGAGACTACTTTTCTAATAACTAGTCAATGACTAATTGATATAAAACAAGAGAACAAAAGAAAAAGAAAGATATTCTCTATAGTACCAATATTACCGATTTGGCTTTAATGATCGGTTTATTAATTTCTAAGGTTATAGTTATCTATTCAAAATAAGTTATGGTTTACTTTATATATTACGTAAAAGATTAGAGAAAATCATGCGGCAAAAAAAATGTCTAGAATAATAATCGATGACACAAGATATATAATAGAAATATTCGGTTTATGTTTATTCAAGGGAATAATTAGTTGAAATTCTATAGTTACAAGATTATTTCATTGAAATTTTTTACTATCTGATCGATCATAATACTTCAGAGGTAAATTTTAATCGTTAATATAAGCATCATGTTATTATTGTAACAAGTACAAAAGAAGGTTCAGGTCTAAGATGAGATTAAATTTTGTTAGTTGAATAAAAATTATCAATTATAGAACGATAGAAGCTCTTTAATCAATTTTATTGATTGTATGACAGTAATACAATCCTATTTGACATTTATTATCAAATTTCCGTAACATAAGTTCTTGTAAAATCAACTACTAGAGTAATGTTCTTTGTACGATAATGAATGATACTTATGTTTCTGATTGGTATATTCAATATTTATAACAATGTTTTCTTTCTGGTATCAAGTACATTATTTTTAATCGTAATTAAGTTTTATATTAACATGTAATTAGAAATTCATTGACACAGATAATGATGAATGTATGATTTTGTTTTAAACTAAAACTATTACTTCCGTTGTATCTCACACAATGGCAATACGACCTTACAATCATTCGTTTTAATTATCTTTATCGTATATATATATTTTTTTCATGACATTTTATTAAATGTGAGAAATCGAGATTTTACATTCGAAACTGATAAGTTTTAATCAACTGAAAATAGTTTCTCTTGTAATTAAACACGTACTAAAAACAATTCATATATATTCATACATGTAAAAGTAATACGATTCATTTCTCGATCAACTATAAATAAAAAACCATTATTTTGTCAGGTAAGCATTTTTTAAAGATTTTGTTTTTATTAATTTTACATTTCTTCGCGTTTAAATAATAACAATAATTAATTCATTGATTTATAATATATTATTACACTCATAGAATGCTAAATCAAAAAAAAACTGCAACATAAATATAAGAACAGAAAGGGAGAGAGAGATTTAAATTAAGTTTATATTAAAGCAAGTTTAAGAGCTTTCATAATGCTTATTAAGCCAGAATGGTTGATAATCTTGTTCAAAATTTTTTATTGATTCATCTATTTTATCATTATATTCAATTTGCCAACTATGACTTGAATTTGAACATGTCTCATCATCAAAATGACCACTATCAACCTTGATTAAGTCACTATCATTTAATGTTTCGCTAATATATGAAAAATTTTCCGTCTAAAATAAATAATTTATAGAGATCACAATAATTTTTTTTTCTTACTTCTGCTGGTAAAACATCTTTTTTCGATAAGAAACTTAATTCATTTAATAAATCTTCAATTGATTTCGATGATACTTCTATAATTGAATAAAATTTATTAAAAATCATTAAGAAAAATATTCAGTTACCTTTAGATTCATCATTAATTGATAAATAATCTCGATAATTTTCTAATACTCGATCCTAAAAATAATTTATTAAATTTTTTATCATAAAATTTATTTTATTTAACTTACATGACGATATTCAAGAAATGTTAAAATTTTATCTAATGAAAAATCTTTTTTACCAGGAAAATAAACCGTTGTTAAAGCTGCTTGAAGAAACGTCCATTTTTGTCGTAAATTAATTAATTCATCAAAATGACGATAGTTTTCAAAAAATTCTTCATTATCAACTTGAGTATCTTTAGTTCCTGATGATGATGATGATATATTAAACATATTGTATGCATATTTACGACGTAATTCTAAAAGCGTATCAGCTGGTAAAAACACTTGTCGAGATAATTTTGAATTAAGTAATTCAGCATCTTTATCAAATGTCTGTAAACATTCTTCTAAACGATTAAGCTATAATCGAATAAAATGAATTCATTTTATCTATCCAATAATAAAGAAATTTACTTTAACTAATCGACGATTTTCAACATATGTATTTATATTTTGACTTGCTTTAATAATTCGATCAATAACATCATTAACAAGTTTTTTTGCTTGATCATGTGCATCTTTAGATTGTTTATTAATAAATTCAATAACTTCCGATACACCTTGACGACGATTTGATGACATTTGTTCGGATATTGATTGCATATCATCTAGTAATGATTTTCGATGACACATAAAACATAAATAACAATATTGTTCATGACAATGACGACATATAACTTCACTTGTTGAATCACATCCTGTTGATATACAGGGATTTATTTGTAATTGTATGGAACATTTCGTTGTTGACGACATATTTTTTTTCCTTATTAAGTTTTACGTCTATTCGTAAATATATATGTGTGTGAATAGTTAACAGTAATATATATATATGTAGATATAGATGTTCGCGAGCCGAACAAGGTAACGATTAAAATTTATCACTTTACTTTGTCTGGACTATTATATGTATTTCTCTATACGATCGAAGATGATGACCGAAGATAAGAGGAAGAAAACGATTATCGTCGAGACATTTTTGATCATATGGACAATATAAAATGATGAAGGTGAAAAGGATTAAGTTATTTTATTGACAACAAAAAAAAACAGAAAGATCTGTTAAACTTCATAAAACGAAGAAAATCATTTTCTAGAATACAATCAAATAACGAAATTTTTTATTTAAATCGATCTAAACTTGTAAAAAGAAAAAGTACTAGCTACATTTTGTAACTATTTAAACTTAGTTCGTTATCTTGATTTATCGTCCAATTAGAATAAAATGACAAAAAATAGTGATATCTATATAATTATCAACTATTTCAGGTTATAATCAAACAAAAAGATGCCATCGAAAGATATGCGCTTTGATGTTGTTGATTATATTATTTTTGCATTATTACTATTATTTTCTGCAGCAATTGGTTTATTCTATGGTTTTATTGATAAAAGAAGAAAAAAAAAGAAAGGAGATGTTGAAAATGGTGCTATTGGACAATCAACAAATACGGCAAAAGACTATCTTTTAGCTGGTAAATCTATGGGTGTAGGTTATAATATAAATATTATCCTATACAAATAAATTCTCAAAATATAAGTTTAGGTATTTCCTACTGCTATGAGTTTACTTGCTAGTTTTATGTCTGCTATTACGATATTGGGTACTCCAGCAGAAATTTATATTTATGGTACACAATATTGGATTATTTGTAAGAAAAATAAAACTCAAATTATTTCTCAGAAAAATTTATTGATTTCATGTAGGTATTAGTTATATATTTACAGTTTATTTAACTGCAACACTTTTTATGCCAATGTTTGTTAAACTTGAAGTAACTAGTGCTTATGAAGTAAATCTATATTGAAATAAATTTTAATAATTATAAATTTATTTTCCTAATCTAGTATTTAGAAAAACGTTTCGATCGAAATGTACGATTAGTTGCTTCAGTTATTTTTTCAGTACAAATGGTATGTACAAAATATTTTTGATTTTAAAAAAACTTTTATAGATCTTTTATTAGATAGTTTATATGGCATTAGTACTTTATGCGCCTGCTTTAGCTTTAAGTCAAGTAACTGGTTTAAATGTTTGGATTAGTGTTATTTCAATTGGAGTCATTTGTACAATGTATACGACAGTGGTTTGTTATTTGAGATAATCTATATATTTTCTATAGAATTAACTTTCGAAACATATAGGGTGGAATGAAAGCTGTTATGTGGACAGATGTTTTTCAAACAATTATTATGTTTGTTGGTCTTCTTGCATCAGTTATTCAAGGTGAATAGTTTTGTCATAGAATTATGATATATTTTGTTAGTTTTAGGTGTTATTGATGCAGGTGGAAGTCGAGCTGTTTGGCAAAGAGCATTAGATGGAGGTCGAGTAGAATTTTTTAAGTAAGAATTTAAATTCTTTTCTTTTTAATACGACATTTGACCTTATTTTTTAGTTTTGATCCGGATCCAACTACTCGTCATACTGTTTGGAGTATATTATTTGGTGCAACTTTCACATGGCTTGCAATCTATGGTAAAATTGTATTTTTGTTTTGATTGACTTATCTATAGTAGAGTACTATCTTTCATTGCCTGAGGTTGATACTATCTGAAGTTATCTAAATAAACTGAAAACGTTTAAAAACTATAATTACAATATATATTTAGGTTTTAATCAAACACAAGTACAACGTTATCTTTGTGTTCCGACTGTTCGACATGCAAAATTGTTTGTAGAGATTTCTTATATATAAATCTATGTGAAAATATTTCATTCTAGAGCATTATTATTTAATTTAATTGGTTTAGTATTTATTCTTTCACTCTGTTGTGGTGTTGGACTTGTTATATTTGCAAAATATCATTTGTGTGATCCATTAAAACTTGGATTAATTAAACAATCAGATCAGGTATAGTTTCTGTTTTCATTAAGACATAAAAGCATAATTATTTTAGCTTTATCCATTATTTGTCATGGAAACTTTAAGACGTTTTAAAGGTTTACCAGGTATTTTTCTTGCATGTGTATTCAGTGGTGCACTAAGGTAAATAGATGAACTTAATTTCTTCAATCTTCATATTCTATCTTAATATATATCTTAGTACTTTATCATCTGGCTTAAATAGTTTGGCAGCAGTTGTTCTTGCTGATATAATAAAATTTTTTTATCGAAAGCCATTAACAGATAAACAAGATCTTTTGTATTCAAAATTATTATGTAAAATTTTTTAAAACACAAAGAAAATAGTTTTTCTTTTCAAATTTATGATTCTTTAGCACTTGTTTTTGGCGTTGTTTGTATATTAGTAACTTATCTTGTTTCATTACTTGGTAATCTTCTTCAAGCAACTTTATCTTTATTTGGTGTTTTATCAGGACCTATAAGCGCAATTTTTATGATTGGATTTTTTCTTCCTTGGATTAATTCAGCGGTACTATTGCAAGATTTTTTCTCTTATTCGAATAGAAAAAGAGATTAAATTTGATATTTAGGGTGCCTTAATTGGTTTAATTGTTAGTGTAATTATACAAATATGGATTTTTGTTGGTTCACAAGTGCTTCGAAGTGAAATGCGTTCATTTCGTCTACCAACACGTATTGATGGATGTACTAATCTAAGAGAAAATGTAACTATGCTTGTTAATACAACAATTACTTCGCCAATATGGTATCAAACACAAACAACAAGTCTTTGTCGAACACTTATTAAGTTTGTTGAATAATTTTAAAATTACAAAATATTCGCTCTTTATTCTATAGAAAAAGTCCATTAGTTCCATTTTATGGTATGAGTTATTTTTGGTACACAATGTTTTCAATCTTTACTGCACTGGTTGTTAGTGTAGTTGTTAGTTTTTTTACAGGTAGATAATAGATTTAATTATTTAAAAATAATTGTGTTAATTTAGGCTTTAGAAAACCTGAAAGTATGGATCCAAAATTCATAATACCTGTATTTGATATTCTTTTTCCATTTTTACCGGAAAGAATCTTATCGAAACTGAGATTTGGTGTTCGATATGGACAAAATTCTATTCAAGTAGATAAAATATGCTTTTAATTATATTCTATTGAATATTTAATTTAGGCTGACGTAAAAGATAAAGTACAAGAACAATCATCACGACATCGAATGGGTACAATAAATGAAAGTCATTCTAATCCAACTTATCTACATGATGAAAATAATGATAAAAAACAAATAGGCGAAGCAGAATGGATTGTACGAACAAAACTTTAAATATTAATTTTAATGTATTTCGAAAATATTCATTCGTAGAAATAGGATTTTAATAGAAAACAGTATTATTAAAATAGAATGAATTATTTTATGTTTAGGTATATCTATTCGACTAACTGTGATTTAAATCAGCATGATCATTATATCATAACTTGTTTATGGTACAAATTATGTACACTCGTATTGTTAGACAACTTTAATATTGAATAGAGTTATGAACTGTTTAGATATTATTTTTTTGCATAACAGCCAATAGCAACAATACTTTCACCATGTGTTTCGTTAATAAGAATACGTATATGTATAAACATGCTGTGAATATAATGAGTTCAACGTTTTCTTTACATTAAAACAAGTTCAAGGTGAACATTCTCTTATGATAGCAGGATATCAAAAGCTTAAGTTTCAACAAGTAGTTGATATATATATAAACGAAAGATATGATTTTTCAAGAAGTAATCTCATCTTTGAAGTGGCATAGAACTTAAAGATATATACATATATTACACACCGTATTGTCAAAGTCTTTAATCATAATTGTCGATACATAGGCAATAGTCAAAGTGTTAAATAGTATATCATATTGTTAATGATACGTTTATTGATTCGATTGACAAATCAACAGTTAATTATTAGACATAACTTCATATATGTATTCAAATTTTATAACACATAATTCATTTTACATATGAAAGAATCTATTCGATAGAATAGAATAAAAAATTATTGGCATTATTTTTTATAACTTTTTATTGCTATATATATATACTCTCTTTATTTCTTTCATGGTATTAATCCAAATGAGAAAATTTAAGTGCTATTTCCTATTCATACCATTATCAACAATAGAATGAGAATATATATGTCGGCTGTGTTAATAATCAACTTTTATATATCTGTATAACAATAAAAAGTTATAAAAAAAAAAGGATTAACTATGATCGTATCATTACCAATTATCTTATGAAAATAAATTAATTCATGTAGCAAACAGATCACTATCATTGAATATTACAATGTCCTCTCTCAGTTCACTTCAACACACCTAAGTGAGCAATAAGTATTTGAGTGTACGGAAGATGATATAATACCTTCGATTGATTAAAAACTAATATTTTCAATAGTAAATGCATTAATATACTTAAGGTTATGCTCTGTTGATCATTGGATTAAAAATACTTGTTCATGAAAATAAATCAATTACAAAGATAAATATTTTCTATCTTCTTGTAAATATTATTTTAATTTAAATGAAAACGAAAATTTTAATATATAATAACAAATACAACAGAAGGAAATTATTTGATACACCTATTTTATTTTCTTATAAAATAAATTTCTCAGAAAAGCAATTAAGATAAAACTCTATTTAAGTACTTTCAACAACATCGATAGTCTCAACAAAAAAAAAGATATTAATATAATTATTTATACTCAACGTAAGAATAAATACAAAATTTAACCAGCGGCATTATATTATTTGATCTTCTCTGACATCGATCTTGTTATAATTGTCAGACTAGAGGAGAAAAAAAGAATATGAATTTTTTGCATTTAACCTTATAGAA